CTGGAAATTTGTTTTTTTTGGTTTTTGGTTTTTTCGGTTTTTTTGGTTTTTTAGGTTTTTTTGGTTTGCCTGTCTCAGGTACGCCGCCGAGTCCATCTTTGCCGATGAGGGGCGTGGGCTTATTATTTCCTTATTTCCTACTTTATTTCTCTATTGATAGTACTATTAGTGTGTCAGAGAAGGCTAACACAGCCGAGACTGAGAGAAACACAGAAATCGAAGGCGAACAGGTGCGAAAACAAGTCTCTGCTCATGATGCTTATCTTGCCCATCTAGCGCGATGTGCAGCTCCATGTCTCCAACCGCGTGGGTTTGTCACATCACTCCTTATATATGGCTCAAATACAACTAGCTTGCCTCCGCGTCCTCGCTTGCCTTTCATCCTTCCTTTGCCGACTCCTTTCGTACAATGGCTGCTGCTGACGCCGCTGACATCACCCTAGATGGTTTGAAAGGTGCAGTGCTTCCATTGGTATGCCGGTCTTTGTCACAGCCTGTGAGCTTGAACTTGCCCATTGGCATCTATTCTCCGGCAACTCTTCCGCTACAGGACGTGAGTAGTACAGACAATCCGACAGTGAATCTTTTCGACATCATTCCCGAGTACACGAGTGAAATCGATTTTGGTGCTTTGGAACGTGGTTTCCTTGAAGCGAATCGATCATGCAACATGGCTTTGCTTCCCCCACCCTTTGGCTTCAAAGGGGATCTCCCGCGGGACACCAAAATCCAGATTTTCCTTTATCCTGCTCGTCCTGGCGTGTACTACATCGTCAAGCACTTCGTGTGCAGTAGCAAGTGCAAACCTATTCTCTTCAAGCAGGGCGTCTACGGACAGGCGCAGTCGTATCGATGGCGTTCCAGTGACGCGAAGATCGGCAAAAAGATCATTCAGTATGTGCTGGAAAACCTAGGGGGTCGGCAACTCAAGATGTTTGACTTGGTCTCGCACACAACACCCAGGAACTCAAGCGGCAAATTTGAGGACAAGGATGATGACGAGATTGACAGAGGTTTCGATTTCATTCAGAATGAGGGCCCGAGATCCTGCACGGAGATGGCGCAACTCAGGTGGATGACGAAGAACCTGAAAGCGCCGACATCACCAATCTATCAATGGCCTCATTCCCTTGTCGAAAAGGCTCTCAGGAACATAGCTACTGACGGAGCACTGGCCAAGAAGGAGTTTGCTTGGCCAATCCCCTTGACGGAGAAGTACTATCACAAATGGCTTCTGGATATCCTAGAGAAAATCTGGAACTTTGACCAAAGTGCTTTTCTGATGCTTGGGGAAGCCGAAGCAGGCAAATCGCCGCTTGGTCGCAGTGTGCTTATGGCTCAGGTGCGTCACAACCAGCATCGTTTCAAGGCACGAGGCACTCCGTGTATCCGCTGCACCGCTGAAATTGATTTCCTACGCGGAGAGCCTGGGTCCGTCATTATGGGTGACTTTCTGGACGACACTACCCTCAGCAACCTAAGTGTCAAGACCCTGAAGTACTTCCTCGACGTAGGCTTGTACGAAAGCATGGTCTGGGCTAGGTGGGGAGCGACGAAGTGGGTTCAGAACGAACCCAGGGCAGCAGCAGACAACATCTATGACGAGGACAAGCTCCCCAAGGACCTTGATTTCGTTCCGTCTGTTCCCTTTGCCGCATTCTGGGATTCAATCAAGTCTGCATTTACATCGGAAGCATCACGTGCACATGCAGATGCCATCCTCAAGCGGACAGCCATACTACTCAATTCCAAGACCCACGTCTACTACCGTCCCGCTGGTATCAATCAAGATCCCGTGCAAAGGTTCGCCATCAATCGTGCCGAGTACTTGACGGATGCTGGGAAGGAGCTTTTCGGAAAGTATTTGGATGGAGAGAGAGAGTTCGCCGCGGACTTCGAGGACGAGGTTCGTCGGGAACAAACCTGGGTGGATCGCATTATGACACGACGCAAGGAGGAGCGGAAGCCGGACTTCAAGAAACGCAAGGAAGTTCGTGAAGCACTCTTTGGTCGTGAAAATGATGTCCCCAGGGAAGTGCACGTCAAGCGGGAATTCCCAGCGGAAGAGGCAGCATTCTTCAAGAAGGCTAAGACCTGGTCACACGAACTTCGAAACACCGCCACAGGTACCATCGATCTGGATTCCCCTGAACGCTCCACAACAGCTTTCTCGCGTATTTCCGTGAATGTCTCTCGCGTTCCCATTGTGCCATCCACAGAAAGCGTCGGAATACCATCCGCATCCTCATCGGCGATTCCCAATGCGGTCATGCCGGAGCTCGAAGAGTTTATCGACACAGAGCTCGCAGAGGAAGCCGACTTCATCGAGGAAATGGGTGATCAGATGGACATTGCAGGGGACGAGGAGTAGGCTTGCGATGCCCATGATGCTTCCGAAGAACAAGCAGTTTTGGAGGACCAGTCTTCGTAAAAATATGAATAAAGGGTATATACCGAGAGAGATAGGTAGAGAGAGAGAGAGATAGATGTGTTTTCAAGTTTCCTGTGCATGTCTAGCTAAAATAGCAGTTGAACAAAGCTATGGCCAAACTTGACATGGACAGGAGAAAGAGTACATGAAGATCGACGTGCAGCGCGCTCGCAAAGGAAAATGTTGTCGCGTTTGATCGTCCTTAGTTTATGCTCATGATGCCTGCATGCTAACAGAAGAGAAGTTTCGTTCACTTATTGAACGTGTATCCTCAAGCCATTCACTCAAGTGTACTGACACGAACATCCGCCCTGCGATCCTCCTTTCCAGCTCGTCTCGCTATGGGAAAGAGCATGAAGAAAGTGCGCTCCTCATCTTCCTCTACATGGCCAGCTCCGAAGCGTGGCAAAACCCGCGCCCTCAAGAAGCCGTCTACGATCATGAAAAAGAAACCCTTCGTCAAAGTCCCGTATGTCAGGCATGGGAAGACCACCCAAAAGAGCAGAAAAGAAAAAGAAAAGTGGGGACGCTCCGTGCAAATGTTCCTCAACAAGGGCCCGCTTGCACTCATCAAGTTGCTCACGAAGGACGGCATCCTCCAGAAGCCTACCAAATGCCCTCATTGCGCTTCCGCAAGTGTTGGCCCCTTGAAGTATTGCAAGCAGTGGAATGGATATGTCTACAGGTGCTCGAAGCGTGCTTGCCACTGCCGCATCTGGCCCCACAGTTTCCACCCAATCTTCTATCACTCGAAGGGCAAAGGATCGGACTTGAACATGCAGGCCTCCGTTCTCTTCTGCGCCACCATCGGCATCCCTCAGGTGAGCACCCATCTACTCTTCGACGTGGATGCTAAGGCCGTCGCCCGCATCTACAACAACCTCGAGATCGCCCGAGCAAAATTCGTCCGCCGCCAAGAGAAGGCCATCGTATATGGAGGTTGGTGTGATGTGGAGGCGGACGAAGTTGACTTAGGCAAAGGCTTTCTGGATGACACCGCTGGGCAGAAGAAGGGAGTCACCACCGCCTGGGAACAATGGGGCGGTTTGGTGGAAAGAGGCCGACCAGAGTCTCTGCGGTTATTCCGCCTTAATCCAGCCGCCACCAAGGCTCGGGCACCAGGCCCAGGTCCCATCCGCAAGCGGGACTGGAAGCCTATCGCTCACAAGCACCTTTTGGGCAGAAGGGTCATCTTGCACACCGATGGGGCACGTGCTTACAAGATGAAGTTGGATAAGGTCATCCACTGTAACGTGGTGCATAAACAAAAGAAGAAGATCGTGCGTGGCAAGGCCTGGTATGGGGTAAAAGGGTAGTGTCGTTCCAGAAATCCATCACTTAATTGCCTCTGCGCTGGACAGGTCACGTGGGAGAAGCCCCACTACACGAAGGTGTATGACCTCAAGCTTCCGGACGGCCAGAAGCTCACGGTGAAAAGCGGTACCCAGATTATCGACAGGTGTTGGAGACACCTAAGAGATCATCTGCGGTACACTCCTCGTAAGCCCGGGAACCCCATCTTGGAGCGAAAGATCAGATCGGCACAGTGGCTCTATTGGAATCGCAACAAGAACCTCTGGGCCAAGACAGGTGAGATGCTGAGGACGCTCATGTCTGCATAGGCGGCACGTACCAAAACGTACGATGTACAGCATCCCGGATTCCATTCCTGTACTTTCATGCGTCGCAGTGAGTAAAATGCACAAGTTGCTTTCGCGCGGTAAGCAAGGAAACACGATGCTCTGATGAACTAAAGAGAAAGAGAGAGAGAGGGAGAGACAGATATCCACATCGTCATGTTGCGGTATGGTATCATGTTACCCACCACTTCCATCCGTAGTTTTCTGGGCTTGAGTGTGCTTTTTCCCTTCGCTTTCTCCTCGCTGCCATGAAGTGGCTGCGCCTT